AAATGAATTGTGTCCCCCCTAAAACTCATTTGTTGAAGATGTAACCCACAATGTGACTATATTTGGAGATAAGGCCTTTAGAAGGTAATTAAGGTTAAATGAGGTCACAAGGGTGGCCTATAATCCTATAAGGCTGTTGGCCTTATAAGAAGAGGAAGAGAGAGAGATTGTTTCCCTGTGCGTGTTTAGGGGATATTCCATGTGAGAACACAATGAGAAGATGGCTGCCTACAAGCTAGAAAGAGAGCCCTCATCAGGAACTGAATCAGCCAGCACCTTGTTCTTGGACTTGCAATCTCTAGAATTATAATAAAATAAATTTCTGTTGTTTAAGCTACCCAGTCTATGGTATTTTGTTCTGGGAAATTAATAGTTACTTAATCCTTGCTATCGCTCAGATGAAAAATTTGGAGTCATTCTTGCCTACTCTACTGTGTACCTAACATCCAATCATTGAACAAATATTGATGGTTCTGCCTTCAATATAGATCCAGAACTTATTTCTCACCAGCTCCACCACCACCGCCATCCTGGCATAGCAGCTATCAATTCTCACCTTGATTGCTACTTCAGTATTTTAATTGGTTTCCTATTTCCACTCTCCATTATCATCAGAGGCAGCTATAGTGTTTCTTTTAAATACTAGTCATATTGTATCACCAAGCCTCCAGTGACTATTCATCTCATTAAAAATAATGCTAAAGTCTTAAATGTCCTACCAAATATTGTCTCCTCATAGCTCCTGTAACTTACTTTCTCTATAGCTCACTCTGCTCCAATCATGTAACCTTATTGTGGTGCCTTTAATATTCCAGCCATTCTTAGCAGACTTAGCAATGAGGAAGAGGAATGAGATTAATCAGAAGCAGGGAGACGGGTTTGCAGACTATTACCCAGCACATCTAGATCAAAGGTCATAAAGCTCTGAAAGGATAAGGTTAGATAAAAGCAAACATCATTTATAGAAAACTAAAATGATCAGGAGAGAATCAGTAGAATACAGTGAGGATAAAGAAGAGTTGAAAATAGCGCTGATATTTATAGCTTGGCACCTGAGTGGATGGTGACTGAGATGAGGTTGATGGGAGCAGAGGCTGTGGGAGGCAAAGATAACATTTTCCTCTTCAAACATGTAGCATTTGAGAAGTTTCCACGGCATCTACACAAGTACATTCATTTACAAGGCGGTGGAAAATGGAGATCGGGAGCTCAAGAATGAAGTGATAAATGTCAGAATGGTGCTTCCCTTTTGTCCAGGGCAGCGTCCGGAAGGGGCATAGAGGAGACCTCTGGCGTGCTTGTCACGTTCTAGTTCTTCATCTGGGTAGTGGCTGGTTACATGGAGTGCCCACTTTGAAAAATTAATCAGTCTGTTCACTTATGATTGTGCCCCTTTTTCTTAAAATCCGTGCCAACAACAGCTAGATGTGAATCTCTATAATTCAGAAGCAGATGTTAAAATATACTTCTTTTCATTTGGGCTTTTAATAGGAATTTAATACAAAAATTCCTGTGTGTTTAAATTTTAGAAAAGGAGTGTTGTCTGCCTTCTGCCAATGGGTCCTTGGGTCAGATGATCTCCCCTCTCCCAACAGCCCCCTGGCTATTGATATTGAAACTCTCAAAGTCAGTCATATAAGCTTTTCAGATTTTCAGGAAATAAAAATTATAAGTAAAAATTCCCTAATGCTATTTTTTTTAGGCCTTTGGTGGAATGAAAATATCCAATATCCAGTATAATACTCTGAGCCATCTTGCTAAGGATTATGTATTAAAAATACCTTATTTTATACAGTCCTTTATTTCAGGGAATTCCAACTTCTTTACATGTTAGAGCCTAAAATGTTACCTGCAATTAAATTAGTTGGGTGTTAATTTTTTCATGTATTTCACATTAATTCTAGATGTAATTTTATAAATGCTAGATCTACCACTTCCTACCTCTTTGACCTTGAGCAAAATATGTAATACCTCCAAGCCTCCGTTTTCTCATTTGTATAAAGGGCCTAATATTAGAACCAACCTCATAGGGTTGTTGCTAAGATCTAATGTGATTCCATGACCATGTATATAAGCACTCAGTAATTTTCAACTATGATTATTGTTACCGTTTTGAAATATAAATGGTAATCTTGACAGTAATTTATATATAATTAAGCTGAAAAATACTTCAGCCTCCTGGAGTATTCCTCTGGTGCTGACTTGTTTGTGAAGAGAGTAGCCCTGGGACAGGCCTGGTCCAATAGAGCCACTGGTGTGGTTATAACTTAGATCCTGCTCCAGGATCTTTGTAACAGGTCTTTGTTTTATAAAAAAGGTTTATGTGTTTGTTACTTTAATAAAAATGTGAAGGATTCTCAGCCCTTGTATCTTTTAATAATACCTCTGTGACCTTTATTTATTGTTTTATTGGAAAATATTAGGCATTATCAATCTATGCCTTTGTCTCTTAAACTCTCCTTAATCTTCCAAGGCTCAAGTGAGTTTAGAGCATTGTTTGTTGTTTCCCTTTACCAGTGACCAGAAGTTTTTTACTTTGTTTGAAGGATGAGGCTTTTTGAGAGTCCCAGAATTATGTGGAACATGTTAGTTCCAGCTTTTGTCTGGAGTAAGCCCAATGCACCATCTTTCATCCTCATCTGGGTTTTAAAGTCAAGCTCCTGTGTTAGCTTGTCTGTTGGGGAAGGCTCAGAGTCCCTGCACACGTTCTCCTCCCAAGATTTTATTTTTTTATTTTTGTGCTGTGGGGGTTTCCATTATTTTTTTCCCCAAAGTCAGTTACACATTTCAGAATATATTTATTATGATCAATTCAGAATTTTTCAATTTCAAAAATTTTATGTATATTTCTCATGGCCTGAAAAGTGGGCAAAACAGGAAAGACACTTCAGATTATTTTAGTGGTCATGATGCTTCATTTTTATTCCTTTGATATCATCTTACGGAGGTTGGGTGATGGGAGTTTTAACTCAAACTTATTTGCTTATAATTTCTGCATTCCACCCATCAAAGCAAAAATTGCCATGGGACAAACTTAAACAATCAAGGAAGACTTTATTCAAGACTTTTGCAATAGTCAACTCTGCTGAAACAAAAAGGGGGAGGTTTTTCAACACTCGTGTGAATTAGTAGCAAAGTATTGGAGGATGTCGTGTGTGTGTGGAGAGGGGAGGCATAGATCAGTGATGTGGGCCGGTGTGCACATTGCTTCATTTCTGAGTATGCAAATGTTGTTCTCTGTGATTAGGACATCTGTGTCCGTTACTTGGTGTTTATGGAAGTTAGTCTCCTATCCTCCCATAGAAACTGTCAAATAGGGGTGCTCTGATCTTTGATGGTTATATTTCAAAGGGATGGCTCCTGCGTCCTTAAGAAAGATATTCTTGGGATATAAAGCTGACAAGAAGCCATTAAAAATATTTACATCTCCAAAGAGCAGGGAAATAATTTTTAATTGTAAGTTTTCTGAAGAAATGCTATAAGAAAAGGGAGGTGAAGGGCCAAGAATCAGGAGGAAACCTGTCTGAAGTGTAGTCAAGCGGAGGGTACTATGAAGGCCTTGGTCAACCTTAGATGTAAGTATTGCTCGTTACTGGGAGGTTTTTAGAAGGAGAAGCATATAAATCTTTTAATTCATTTCCAAACCTGGGGGACTGATAAAATGCATACAGGGAACAAATGAGTTTCAAAATGATTTATTGAACTAAAGCTGAAGAAGTAAAAATGAGCACATATAAAAAGTGAAAGAGTGAAAGAGGCTGAATTTTTCTATGTCATAGAATGGTCTCATTTCTGAAGAGTGAGGACAGTAAATTCTCGAGGCAATATTGGCAAAAGTTAGGGTGAGAAGTTTAATATTGAGGCATATGAGGACCTAGAAAAAATTTTGAAAAATATAAAATTAATTCATAAGTCCTGTAAACATTACCTACTTGTTTTAATATTGCTATTTTCAATTTTTTATGTGAAATCTCATTCTATATAGACCTTCCCAGAACCCCTGTCTTATTTTCTTGACAGCCTGTAATTCTATTTTAGAGTTAAAGATACCAGTTATGTGTTTCATGTTTAGTGTAAAGTATATCTTGTTAGCTACATTGATAGACCTCAGCCATCATCATTACTACCTAGGATGATTTCATCCACTTTTAACAACAATGATAACAACAACAACAACAAAAAACCTGATAGATAATGTGTTCCAGCAATCCTTTCCCTGAAATAGTCCTGGATATGTTACTTTTATCTTAAGAGTTTTAGATTCTGGTTCTATAATCTAGACTAGTTCTTCATTACATTGTGTCAAATGTCTAAAAAGTTTTCTATATTTTATTTTCTTTTTCACAGATTTTCTTTATTAATAGCAACATTATGTGCTCATTTCCATCTGATCCTAACTGAGGTTTGACTCTTGCTATATTCCAGTCAAGAACAATTGCGTACAATTTCTCGACTGTGGCTCACTGATGCTTGTGTCTGAGATCGTATACGTGCCAATTTCCCATTCCGAAGTGCTTTCCGGGTGAATGTCTTCACACTGGTAACCTCATCAGACTCCCCCCTCACCCTCTGAAGATCTTGTTACAAAATATAGTTTCTAGAGTGGTAGAGCTCAGTAATCTTTACTTTGAAAAAGAAGCCAGGTGATTATGACTCAACTATCTACTAAACTATCTTCTGGGATGACTATTCTAGACTTCTAAGCTTTGTGATAGCTGGTTTAAGTAGTAAAATATTTGGATTCTAGGCCTGGTTTTGCCACCATCTGTTCTGAATTTGAGCACATGCCATACCTCTATGTTTTTATATATTAATTCGGAAAGTACCTGGTCTCTTTCATAGAACTAGAAAAATTAAAATTTAGTCAGATCAGTAGTAAGTAGCTATTACACAAGGTATTTGGGGATATACAGAGCACTTTTGAATTTCCTCATCTAAGCCTTTGCTTGTATTAAATTACCTGTTTGCTGAGATGCTTGAGATGAGCCTTTGTGATGCTTTCACTGTGAGGAAGTAGCGTTAATAACAGTTGTAGGAGTATTGGCTGTGGCTGTAGTAGCAGGTGCTGTGCTGCTAATAGTAGTAGACGTGGTCCCAGCTGAGGCTGTGTTTGCGATGACTGCGCTCGTGGGACTGGTGGCTGCCACTGGGGCGGTGGTGATGGAGTTAGCTTCAGGTGTGGTTGTTGCTGCTGTTGTTGTGATGGCTGGAACAGTGAGAGTTCGTTCAGGAGGTAGAGTGGTAGCATTTGCTGCAGGTGTGGAAAACCCAGGGGGTTCTGTGGATCCTGCAGATGTAGTTGTGGCAGCTGTAGCACTTGTGGCCTCTGTTGCAGGGAGAGTGGTATCATTTTCTGAGTCAGTAGTGACCTCATCAGTGAAGATAGTTGGTTCAGGTTCTGAGATGGTAGAGTCCAATTCAGTGGTTAAAGCGTCAGATATAGTGGTAGAGATGGAACCTGTTGGAGTTGTGGCAACTTCAGGAGTGGTATTTCCTATTGCTTCAGTTGTGGTCTCATCCACTGGGGTTGTAGTTTCAGTAGGTGAAGAACCAGGCTCAGCAGTGGAGGTAAGAGCGACTGGAACTGTGGTGGTAGTGCCTGGTACACTCATACTGCCGATAGTTGTGGCACCCACGGCTGACAGTGTGGTCCCAATACTTGTGGAGGCTGCAGCTGTTGCAGTAGTGGCTGCTACAGGAATTAAGGCTGTAGATGAAGCCACTGTTGCAGTAGTAGCCATAGATGTGGCGCCTGCTTCTAAGGTTGTGGAGTCAGCTGAAGGGGTTGTGGCATTAGTAGGTGGAGTTGTGGCATCTTCGGCTGGAGTGGTGACAGTCTCAGTTGTTGTGTTACCTGCTGGTTCTGAGGTAGCCTTCTCCTCTATGGTTGTAGCTCCAGAAGTCTGGGTGGTGGTTTTGCTTGGGGTGATCAACACACCAGGCTCAGCAGTGGACACAGAAGCCCCAGGGGTTGAAGTGGTAGCACCTTGTTCAGTTGTGGCAGCACCTGCTACAGTTGTGCTGGCAGCAGCAGTTGTATCACTGGTGGCTGAAGTTGTAGCCATACCACTGATGGTGGTATCCATCCCTGAGTTTGAAGATGTTGCTTCAATTGTGGCAATTGTTCCCACAGGTGCTGTGGTTGAGGATCCAGCAGTTGTGGTCATAACAATGGATGTGACATTTGCTTCTAAGATTCCAGAGTCAGTTGCACCAGTTATGACTCCATCAGGTGGTGTTGTGGTGGCAGCTCCAATGGTTGTATCGTCTGCTGACTCAGTGGTTTCCTCGTCGGTTGAGGTAGTGGCATCACTGATTGTGTCATCTGCTATTCGAGTGGTGGCCTCATCCACTGGTGTGATGGCAGCACTCGATGCAGCTGTGGTGGCAGTGCCAAGTGCAGCGGTGGTTCTAGAATTTGGTGCAACTGTGGTTGTGGCACCAGGTGCGTTTGTGGTTGCGACACCTGATGCAGTTGTTGTCACAGAACCAGCAGAAGCAGTGGTAGACGTTCCAGGTGTTTCTGTAGCAGCAGAAGCAAAAGTTGTGGCAGCACTGGCTGACGATGAGGTAGCCCCATTGGTGGTGGCACCAATCCCTAGAGTTGTGGCCTCACCAAGTGTGGAGGTTGTGGCTGTGGCACTGGTGGCAGAAATGGCAGGGGATGTGGTATCTTTGTGTGCTGAAGTTGTAGAGGTGGCTTGAGTGGTGGAATCATCTGTGGCTGGGAAAGTGGCATCATCTGTTGTGTTTTCTTCAGCTTCCAAGTTCTCTGTGGTCAGATCAGATGTCATGGTGGAGGCAGAGACTGGGAGGGCTGTGGAGCCAGCCCCTGGGTTTGTGGAGGCTGTGGCACTGGAAGCTGTAGACTCTTGGGGTGTGGATTTCACTGAAGGTGACCCTGAGGCTGTCACAGATGCTGGGACAATTGCAGTGGACCCAGGCTCTGTAGATATACCATCTTTTGCTGAGTTAGTGGTTGTTGTTACTGGGATTGTGATGGCAGTGGTTGGGGATTGGGCTTCAGGCATTCTAGTGGCTGCATGTGATCCCTCAGTGGTCGTAGCAGTTGCACTATTTGGGGCAACCGACACAGACATTTTGCTGTTGGATATAGTACTAGTGATAGTGGTTAAAGTAGTAGTAGCTCCAGGTACTGCGGTGATTGTACCAGTCAAGCTATCGGTTAAGTCAGGACGCTGGGTTGTAATGACTGTTGGATTTGTCTGAGGTTTTGGTTTACGGGAGGGTGGTTTATGAGCTGAATGAGGTTGGTGATGATGAGGCTGGTGTGCATGGGAATGTGGGGTGTTTGGCCATGGCCTTGGTTGAAATGGGTGTACTCCATGAGTCTTGAATGAGCACCTATATGCTGGATTTGGTCGTGCAAAAGGAAGTTTAGTTGGATGAAATGAATACTTAGCATGTGGACATGCAGGGCGTTTAGAGGCATGTGGGTGTGATAGAATTGGTTTCTGCAAAGGTTTCCTTTTCCTTTTTGGACGCTTTTTCCGTGCAGCTTGACCAGATTTAGATCCTTTTGGTTTAGATGATTTTAACCTTTTTTTGGCAAGTGTAGATTTCCTTTTTTTAGATGGTTTTACAATTTTGCCTGCTAAGGGAGTTTGTCTTTTTACCCCTTGAAGGGCTTTAAGCTGATTCACACCTTTCTTAGAAGGTTTAGACTGTCTCTTTTTGAATTTACTTGGCCTTTTATTTCCAGTTAGAGAGGTGACCTGTCTTTTTTTAGATGATTTTATAGATGTAGTCTTTTTAGGACGTGTTTTTGCAGTCTTAATACCTGCTGTGGCCCATTTCTGTTGTTTTTTGGCAGGTATAGATTTCTTTTGGATTTTCTTCTTTGCTACAGATCTTTTTAGTCCTGCTTGAGTGGATTTAAGCTGATCTAACAGTTTTTTGGCAGGTGTCGATAGCTTCTTTTTAGTATTTTTTAGAGTTTTACTAGTTGTTCCAGATGTTTTTGGCTCTGCTAGTGACTGTTTTTGTTGTCTACTGGTAGATTTAAATAAAGATTCTTGAGGTTTCTTTATATTTTTCTTTTTGACCAGAGCTGCTTTTATACCCGATTTGGCTGGACTTACCTGATTCTGCTGTTTCTTTGCTGGTGTAGACCAAGCAAGTTTGGAATTTTTTAGGTTTTTCTTTTTGATTAGAGTGTTTTTCGGAACTGGATGTATGCTGTCTTTTGCCTGACTGGACCACCTCCTGGCACTTTTAAATAAGGAGGTTTTAGATTTATTTGGTCTTTTCTTAGAGGCTGGTTGTGTGTTTCGTGTTGATTGAAGTGCTTTAGGCAGATTCACTTGTTTCGTGGCAGGTGCACTATAGGTTTTTTGAGGTTTCTTTAACACTTTAGTCTTGGCTGTAGACATCTTCCTTTTTGTTGCAATTGCTGCTGGCCGAGTGAACTTTTTCTTGGTAGGTGTAGGTGCTATATTTTTGGATTTAGTTAGATTTTTCTTTTGGGCTTTGGAAGATGCCCTTGTTAGTGCTGCCGTAGTTGACCCTTTTGTGACTGGAGTTAACTGTTTATTTTGAGTTTTCTTTTTGGCTAAAGTTTTTTTGGAGCCTGCTTTATTTCCTATTGCCTGATTCAATTTTTTCTTTGCAGATGAAGACAGGGTGTTTTTAGATTTAGCTGGTCTCTTTTGGGGGGTTGAAGAAATTTTAGGGGAAGCTTTTATTGCTGTGGACCTAGATGATTGTTTTTTGGATGATGTATAAAAGGCTGTTTTAGAAGTCTTTAGAGATTTCTTCTTAGGTGGAGATGTTTTTGGAGCTGTTCTAATTATGGGTTGTTTTAATTGTGTCTTAGCAGGTGTAGACTGGATTTTTGTGGATTTTTTTTGACTTTTCTTTGTAGCTGAAGATGCTTTTAGTATTGCTGCAGTCCGTTTTGACAATTTCTTGGCAGTTGTGTGTTGAATTTTTTTAAGCTGTTTGAAAGTTTTGCTTGCTTTAAGTGGGATGATTTGTCCTGTTTGACTAGGTGGAGGGGGATTCAACCCTGTCTTGGTAGAGATCAATGAACTTTTATTAGGTTTGACTTGCAGAGCTTGTCTTTGTGATGGCTGGCCAGAGTTTTTCTTTTTACTTGATGTCCTAGATTTTGAGGATAATTGGATGGCTGCTCTGTTAGTCAGTACAGGAAGGGATGCGGCCCTAGAAGATAAAGACTTTGATTTTTGAGTACTGAAATGTGGTGATAGAGCTCTTGGGAAGGATCTATGGACATGTGGGGCAGAGGCATGAGAATGGGCTTGAAGTTTCCCAATGGGCTGGGTGGATGGAGATCTGCTCCGTGATGTCCTGGCAGGGGAGCTGTTGATTACTGGGCTATTAATTGTCTTCCTTGTGGCCTGGCGTCGTGATTGCTGACTCTCACTGAACTGCAGAGAGACAGAATAGAAGATATCGCCAAGTGAGGTATTGAATCAATTATTGTCTGGTATTTTCATTTTAGTTACAGAAACTGGTCTGTTCTTTAGATTGGGAGTTGTTTTGGTTTTGAATATATTTTAATTTAGAATACATTGCAATATAAATTTAAAATAGAGCAAGATGGTGGAATAGGAAGTCTCAGGCTTTACTGCTGCTCACGGAAAGTTAAACTAGCAACTACCCAAAGACAATAACACCTTTTTTTTTTTTTTTTTTAATAACACCTTTATGAAAACCCTAATACTTGGAAATGAGCATGAGACACCTACATGGTCCACAGAACTGATCAAAACTAAATTGGAAAGGTAAGAGGAATGATCTTACTTCACATGTGCTGCCCATTGCCTTCCCCCAAATTGGTACACCATACAGAGAGGATTTCCCTGGGCCCAAGGTTTGTACCCAGGAAAAAGAGAACAGGAAATGGTCATTTAGCTTCTCTAGCATTATATGATGCTTCCTACTCTGGGATCACCTTAGAGGGAACACTGGGATAACAGCATGGCTAGACGTCCCAGGTTTAGTTGGAAACAAAGAAAGGAAGCAGAGGTCATAGTAACCAATGCACAGATCTTTGTAATACCTCTGTTTCCTGCCAGCTGTGGCACCCAATCAGAGCTACCAGCTAAGTACATAGCCCACCTGCAAAGCTGACCTTGTTACTTTCAAATGCACGGTGAGAAGCTCAACCTGGCTTGAGTCCCTAGATAGCTAGTCTCCACACCTAGCCTCAGAGACTACCCCAAGGTCCTGCCGAGGCAGGGAGACACCTGCCTCTGTGTATTTCAAAGAAGTATACAGGCTAGACCTGTTTGACCTGAGAGTCCAAAGAGTGGCTCAGCTCAGTCAAAAAGCCTGACCAACAACTCCACCAGGGCAGAGAGGTGACCATCTCCATACATTTCAGTGAAGCATAGGGACTAGACCTGCTTGACCTGGGAGGCCAAACAGCAGCTCCATTCAGCCATAAAGCCTGCACAACAGCCTTGCCTGGGCAGGGGGACACCTGCCTTTGTGCATATTGGAGAAGCACAGGGGCTAAATCATCTCAACTCAGAAGGCCAAGCAGCAGCTCAACTCAGCCAAAAGGCCAGTCCATGCCTTTGCCCAGGCAGTGAGATGGCTGCCTTTACGCATTTCAGAGAAGCATAGGAACTAGACTTGCTTGACCTGGGAGGCCAAAGAGCAGCTCGGTGCTGCCACAAAGTCAAGGTTCTGCTCAAGCAGGGAGAGGTCTGCTTGCATGAACTTTGGCAAAGCCCGGGGACTAGACCTCACGGACCCAGGAGGCCAATGAAAGGCTCAGCTCAGCCATAAAGCCCAACCCAAGGCACCAACCAGACAGGGAGGCAATAGTCAATCATGCACTTTTATGGAGAATAGCCTCTGATCCCATCTATCCTGACCATTCCACCTACCTTGGCTCCAGCCTAAACCTCTGACTAATTGCAGATCTTAATTAGTGAATCGTTCATCCAGGGAATACAACCTGTAACCAGCCTGAGCAGATACCATAACAGTACCCAGTTAGCAGCTCTGCCTGATATCAGAGCCCAGCAAGTGGTATTGCCAGAAAGTGGGGCTGAGCCAGAAGCCCCACCCAACATTAGAGCAAAGATAGCAGCTCATCCAGATAGAGAAGTCACAAAACATTGTGGCTGCCTGGGATCCTCACCAGCTGACCCTTTCAGAATCACAGGGTAGGCTAAATAATGAATGTCTATCCCTGCCAAATAGCACCTGTAAAGGCCAGAAGCACCTATCTCCTCAAATGAGCAGACAACAATGCAAGAACACAAGGATTATGAAGAATTAGGAAATTATAGTACCTTCAAAAGAAACTAATAAAGCTCTAGTAATGGACCCCAAAGAAACTGGAGATCTATGAAATGACTGACAAAGAATTAAGAATAATTCTATTAAAGAAGTTCGGTGAGCTACAAGAATATGCATATGCAAAATTAAACGAAATTTGGAAAAAAATACACAAAGCTAAAGTTTGACAAAGAAATAGAAAGAATAAAAAAAGCCAATTAGAAATCCTATAGAGAGAGAGTACAATGACTGATCTGAAAAATTCAATAGAAACCTTCAGCAGCAGACATTATTAAGCAAAAGAAAGAATCATTGAGCTTGAAATCAGAACACTTAAAATTGTCTAGAGGAATGAATGAAAACAAATGAAGAAGACTGAAGAAAACCTCAGGAAATTATGGGACAGCATAAAGAGACTAAACCTTTACATAAAGGAATTGCAGAAGAAGAAGAAGGATAAAAAGATCAGAAAGCATATTTAAAAAAAATAATGGCTAAAAACTTCCCTAATCTTGGGATAGATGCCAACATCCGGGGACAGGAAGCATAGAAGTAACCAATCAAATTCAACCCAAAGAGAAATTCACCAAGACTCATAGTAATCAAACTATCAAACATCAAAGACAAAAAAAAAATCTGAGAACAGCAAGAGATAAGAAACACATCTCATCCAAACGGGTCACAACACAACCACCAGCAGATTTCTCAGCAGGAACCCTGTAGGACAGGAGAAAGTGAGATGGTATTTTCAAAGTGCTAAAAAAAAAACCCCAAACTTCCAACTAAAAATAACTTACCCAACAAAATTGTCTTTCGTAAATGAGGGGGAAATAAAATCTTTTCCAGATAAAAACTAAGAGAGTTCGTCACCATTAGATTTGCCTTACAGGAATTGCTAAAGAGAGTTCTTTAAGCTAATTAATAACATAAAACATATGAAAGAAAGCACAAAACTCTATGGTCTAAATAATATGGAGCCACATTCAGAATACTTCAGGACAGTATTGGTAGTGTGTAGGCAGTTTTTTTCTTAGCATATGACAGAACATATTACAGGTTTTGAGCAGAGAATGCAATAATAGGCCAGGGGTTGAATGAAAAACAAACTTGGGAGATGGGTAAACTCACCCTACTTTTCACCTCCAGAGAGGAACTTCCTTCAGCTGGAGGTGGTGGGTGGACTTGGGAATTAAGGAGAAGTGGAAGTCTTGGTATTTTCTTTGCAAATATCATTCTATTTCTATAGTTCTATCCTCCAGATTTATTTGGAGATTTTCTCATACCTTAACCTCCTCAACAAATACTCATTCTTCCTTCTGCTTTTCTCCCTTTTTCCCCTCTTTAATTCCCTTTACTTTGCCCTTTCTCCTCAAATTCCAGATAATTTTAAATAGACATATTTTCATGGATATTGGAAGCAAAAGAGAATTGTCCCTGTTTATTTTCATCTCATGGGATTCTATCCTGTTTTTAAAAATGCAGTGCCGTGATCTCACTTTCAACTCCATCTCAGTGTTATGTAGCTCTCAATTTTAGGTAGTTCTGGTTTTCAAGTGTATGGAATCCTACCTGGAAACAAATGGCAAAGGCCAGGATGAGTACACTCAGGATTAAAGCTTTCATCCTGTCCTTTTAGCCCCTGTAAGTAAAGAAACGAGAAAAAATTTGTTAGGTCCTTGACAGTGACAGAATGACTTTAATCAAACTTCCCTGTGATACAAAATAAAAAATTGAGGGGCAGTTTTAAAAACAAAAAATTATTTTCCTAAAGTTTAAATGTGAATGTAAAATTACGGTATTCAGATATATTTTTTGAAGACACCATCAGTCTTGGTAACTACTAAAAAATTAGGTTTTCCCATTTGATTTGCTAATGAGATTAATTTTTTAATTTAAATTCCTACATAAGAGTTTCATCTTTTATCAAGAATTATACATAACTAAGAAGTTCCTCACCTCCCGTCACCCTCTGACTGAATACACACACACACACACACACACACACACACATATCCTACTTGAATCTCTACCCATCTCCCATCATTTGGAAAAATGCAGTGGTTGTGGCATAGAGAGATCTAGGAAGGTACATGGCATGCTATTAAGTTCCGGGGTCAGTTTTATGGCACTCAGCTCCTATATGTATGATGTGTGCCATGGTATAATATGTATTATTATGTTCCAAGGGCAAGTTCCAAAAAATCCTGAAGATTGTGTGATGTTGTTTGACTTTTCCTTTCTTCTTGCCTCTAGTTTATATTTTTTAGTCTATAGGATCTAATACATATTCTGAAAATATTCTGTAAAATTATTATGTAATTGTTAATAACTTACTAGATGACTTATAAATCACAATTAAAGATACTTAATAATCAAATCTATTTCTGACCCATGCTAGTATAATTTTGAAGAGTGTGACTTTGATCTTCCTAATACAAGATAGTAGTATCAGTGGAAAGTGGAAAGTGTTTCCATGGTGCCAGATTATTGGGATGAGTTTACAGAACAAAAGGCTTCTGGTACCAGAATTTTGTGAAAGGAAAAAGGAAAATAAAGGCAGCCTGTACGTATCTTAAGAATGACCTAGAGAAGCTCAGTACAAATGAGTTTCACAGTCTCTAGTGGCAGGTGGGAATGATGGAGGGACCCCAAGTTTCACTGGCCTTTGTGTCAACAAATCAACTTTTAGAATCATCATCAGAAAACCTCTGAAACCATTTGGTGTTTCCATCTGAGTCTGAACTGAATGAGTTTACATCATGCTCTTTCCCCACAGAAAAGAGAGTGTCTTCCAGTGTTCCTCATTTCAGCGGATGGCACGTTATTCATCCAGTGTGTAATCTGGAATCCTGAGTCAGTCCCGACACCTCTCTTCATCTTCCCATATCCATGAACCACTAACTCCTCTCTGTATTTTACTTCCCAGACGGTATTTTGATTCAGTCTGTTCATCTTTACTAGCAGCACCTTATTCAAGTGAGCGTCCTATCTCGTCTGGGCCATTCCTCAACTCGGCAAATACTTACTGATTATCCATTATATGCTAAGTGCTGTTGTAGGGAATGGGGCTATAAGGAAGAACCATATAATGTCCCTGACCTGTTGGAGTTTTCATTCTCATGATTACCAAAATAATCTCTTAATTGACTCACAGCCCTGCTTTCAATCAACCCCATAGTCATGATTTTTATAACATACAAATCGGATTATTCTAGTTTCCTTTCACTGGTTTCCCATTGCTCTTTATCCTAAAGTCAAAAAAAAAAAAGAAAAAAGAAAAAGAAAAAAAAAGCTTCGACTGGCTTACAAGGCCCCACCTCTCACTATTCTTCCTCCACGTCTCTCTTAGTCTCAGCCACATTGTGTGTGTGTGTGTGTGTGTGTGTGTGTGTGTGTGTGTGTGTTTGTGATACTCTTTTTCTTCCTCAAAGGCCTTTACATGTCCTTATTTCGCACAACCACTACAATAAGGCTTTTTAGCTTACCTACATATAGGAACAATTCCAATGAAGTTAGTTAATGATGTGTTTGTTGTCAAAGAGAATTCTTATTTTACAGAATGGAATTCTCTCTAGTGTTTGACAAGGAGCCCTTCCCTCTTCTCTTGGCTTTCAACATACCACTCTGAAATTCTTTCTTCTGTTCCTTCATGGATTTTTTTCCTTTTCCACTTACTTATATCAGCGTTCTAACATCAGTCCTATTTTCCCTCACTTTATAACTGTGTCCCTGTATGAGCTCCTACATCCGCCTGGAAACTGCACCTAAGATTATTAATCAAGCTGGTATAGACAACTGTTTTGTGGTCAGCTCTTTTTGGTTGTACCATTGTACCTTCAGCCAAGCCTGTCCAGTATTGAACTCATTAGTGTCCCCTACCTCTTCTTGATTAAGAAACCAGGCATTAATAGAGGAAAAAGATCCCAGAGTAAGGGTGCCCTAGAAAAATTGGCACTATCAGTACAGTTACCTTGAAAGGGGTGCCTCCTTTGGATCTCGGTCAGTACTTGCTCTTCTTGGCCCAGCCAGTCCCTGCGATACTTGAAAGCTGCAAATTTTAGGAGAACTAATTGGATGATTCTTCCATCTAATAAGGCAACCCTGCCTTTCCTATGCCCCTCCTACTCTTCCCTATTGGTTATATTATGCATGTGAATTATTTTAGGTTGACCCTGAAGCATTTGGCTTTTGGATTTTCTCTTCCAGGAACATTGAGAACTCTATCTTATCTTTTACATGAAAGGGGTAAGAATAAAATCTGATAATTAACAAAATTCACAAATTAACACTATGGCCTCTATGTTTATCATTCATTTTAAGAAACCTATGGCTCAGTTTCCTATTTGTAGTTATAGAATAACATATTGTCAAATGTTTCAAAATTTTCAGAATTTG